GCCGTCCTTCACCGTGAGTCTGGGTAGTGCTGAACTTGAGAAAAGCGTTCGCTGCAGAAGTGAGTGCAGGCGGCCCATACCGAAGCATGTTTTGTTCTGAAGTCAAGCTCCTGGTCCTAAAAACAACTCCCACGGCGTTTTTCAGAATCCAGTTCAAGATTTTGATTGATTGTTTTAACTTGAAAATGAGCATGAGGAATTTTGGGTCATGCTTGTTGCTTGTAGGTTACCACTGCCTTCAAGTTGGTTCTGGCTCGTAGTGACACAGGACAGTGTAGGACTGCCCCATAGGGCTTCTGAGGCTGTACGTCTGTTGCTTCAGCTTGATCCGTGGATTCACATTGTGGTCGACCCCCGGTTCACAGCCAGGCGCCTAACCACTGCACCATCGGAGCGCCTCGTGTATAACTTAGCCACTGGATTTTTTTTTTTTTAAATCCGCAATGGAGGAGATTTTTCATAATTTATTATGTAGGGTCCTTGGGGTTTTTTTTTTTTTTGAGAAGTAGCAATACTGTTAAGACCTAGAAAAGCATTTAAAAAGTCTTCCAGTTACGTCTGAAGTAGAGTTCCCTCGTGCCCATTCATATTAAAGGCCTTTGATGGGAGTGGTTGTATTACATAAATGATTCAATGATATCAGCAGATGTCATTTCTGTGGACATCAGTAATCTATATTTTGTATTTGAGGTAATTTTTATCCAAAATGTTTGTATTTGATTGCTGTCTTACACTCATTTCGTATTCTGCCTTGAATATGCAGGGCTCTGTTCTACATATTAAGTGAGTTTTTGTAACAGGTAATTCTTATTTCTAATTAACTTCTTCATTGTGTAGCATGCAAATTGGGAGAGTATCTCAAGTCTGCGGTTTTTATTTGGGGAACTTTTCCATTTTACTCTGCTAAAAGAGTAGTTGGGGAAATAATTTAAAATTAAAACACTTCCTTCCTTTTCTCTGCTTTGACACACTCAGATTTGTGAAACTCTTCCTACAAAACCTCTTCTCTCCTAACATGTCTACTCTCCTGCTCGTTGCCTGTTGATATGCATATACCATTAGGAATGCTGTGATAAAAACTTCAAAACTTTAAAAAAAAATTAAAACCATTTCTTTTGATTTGTATTGGGAACATTCCTTAGGTAGGGGTACCTGAGTGATGTATTTTCTTAAGCTGCTCATGTTAGCTGCCCGTTACTTTACCTTTTAAGCTCACTTATGAAGAATCGTTTTCCCTGTCCATGGCGCTACCTGCTCACCGCTCCCTTCCCCCACCACCCTTACCCTCCAGGTCTCCCCGGGACCGTGGGTCCTGCTGCTGTCTCCACGGGCATGCCTCCCGTGCCTATCCTATATAGGTAGGCACATTGACTATGACATAGCCCAAACTGATAAAATAAAAATAAATAATAATAATAAATAAAAATAATAATTAAATAATATACAAAAATCCCGGGTCTGTGCGTTGGCCTTCATGACTGTCCCGGAGCTGCCCCTCCCGGCCTGGAGCACCCCCTTGGGGGCGCCTCAGGGGTTTCGTAGCTTTTCCTTGCTCTAGCTGCTGGTCTGGTAGGCTCACTTCTTGGTTCACTCTGCTTTGGGGGGGGGTGTTCAGACCGCACTGCCTCCCCACCATGTGACCCCAGAAATGTCCTCTGTCGCAGTCTGCTCCAGTAAGGGGACAGTGTGACACGTCGGTTGCCCAGTCCCCTCTGTCCCATTAGCTCCCTGCAGGGACATCATCCTCCAAACCTGGTGTGCCAGTGTGGGGTCCAGTCCGGCTCTCTCTTTCTCTTCCTCCCTCGAGGCCAGCCTCCATGTGGGTGTGGCATGCTGGCCCTTCGCCCCAACCTGTAGGTTCAGTGCCTCTCTCGGCCACACCCACTCGCAGGGAGGAGGTCAGTTTGGCTCTGGTTGGGGAGCCCTGTAGCTCTCTCTTTTCATGTATTCTTCCATGTGGCCACGTTGTCCTCATGGTTTGGTGCATCATGGTAGGGTCTGCATGCCCACTCCCAATTCTGTGGAGGCAAGACCAGCACTCACCCCGAAGACCAGTACTCTCGGGGAACAACTGGGGTGTTGGAGTCAATAACAAGGAGGAGATCGGGATCCGAGGGGCGGGGGTGTTGGAGCAATAGCAAACTAGTTAAGAGGAGGTACCAAGAGGGCCTATGTACATATATTTATATGGCAATACTTTGAGGTAGGTGATGAACTTCGGGTCTCTGCTTATACCCTCCCTCAATACAAGAACACTTTGTTCTAACCAATCATCAGTCTGAGATGTTCGCCCTCCCGACACAATCGCTGAAGACAAAAATGGGTGCATAAGCAAATGTGGTGAAGAAGGCGGGTGTTGCCCGGCTATTAAAAGATACAGCATCTGGGGTCTTAAAGGCTTGAAATTATACAAGCCGCCATTCACCAGTGAAGCAATAAGTCCACATGGAAGAAGCACACTGCCAGTGCATTCATGAGGAGTCATAGGGACTGGGTAATAGGCATCAGAAGACACATAATAAACAAAAACATATTGTTGAGGGTGGGGGGGTATTGAGCAGCGAGCCAAAGCCTGTCTATAGACAATGGAACAATCTCCCCACAGAGGACCCACAGGGAAGGCATGAGTCACAAGGATGCAGTAAAGCATCGATAAAACACACTATATTCCTCTGGTTCCTTGAGGCTTCTTCACCCCCCACTACCATGTCCTAGTGCTGCTGCTCAATTCAGACTAGACCGGGACCTGTAGAGATAAGAGGTAGAGTTAAGAGATGGTAGAGATAAGAGATGGGAGCTCACGACACACAGAATCCAGGAACAGGAGCGGGAATAGTGATACCAGAAGGTTAGGGGGAAGCAGGGGAGAGGAAGGGGGAGCCTATGGCAATGATCGACACATAACCATACACCCCTCTACAGGGGGAAGAACAGAAACCTGGAGGAAAGTGTCTGGACCGCGGTCGATGTGAGAGATGAAATAATAACAGCGGACAATCTATCGGGGTTATGGGGACGGAGGGGGAGGGGTGGGGAGGAGCCGATACCCAGGGCTCAGTAGAAAGTAAATGTCTAGAAAAGAATGAAGGCAACACATGTACAAACATGCCTGATTCCATCGATGTATGGATTGTGACGAGCTGTACGAGCCCCCAATAAAATGATTAAAAAAAAAATCATCTTAAAGATGACACCCAGAAGAGCTCACACTGTTTCCGTTAGGGCTGTCCTCTGGTGAAGAAGGAAAAGAAAATTTCCTGTGCACTAGAGCATTCTTTTGGAATGGTAAAACACACACATTTGTGTTTGTCAACCATTGTTATCTAGGTTGGGTTTTGGATATCCTCCTGGACCGTGCTTAGAACTAAGCTCTTTTTTTCAAAAACCTCTTATATAACACACCCTCCCAATTTCATTACATATATATTTTTTAATAAAGTGGGATTTTCCCTGTTGGGGAGCCAGTTTTCTTTTTAGCAACTTTTTGACATCATGGTTTGCATGGTTGTGAATTTTCTGCACTCACTTCAGTTGTCTGCCTATAACCGTGGCTTATAATCAGATGTACAGAGCATTGGAAATCTCGGCATGTTGGCAGCCAGGCCACTTTGCTCAGGTGCTTTACTCAGTGCAGCTTACCTGTGAGAGAGTTTAGAATGACTGAGGTACGGAGAGGGAATGCCAACAGAAACATTGTAAACATTGTCTCTAACAGCAGGTTTTAAAAGAACATTTACTTAAAAATTAACAGCAGATCCAGTTTGTAATACTCGTCATTTCTAACACTGTTATTTTCTCACGACTATATTCTTCTGACTATTTGTACTTGGTCTTTTACAAGTGATCAAGGTTTCCCTGGAAACATAAAGTGGAGAAGTCAGCAAGGCAGGCTGTAGGTTTCTGTGTTCCAGGGAGCTTCACAAACTGAGTGGGAACATGGAATGAAAAGATCACGGAATTTCCCCCTGACTCTTTGGAGCCCCTTGTATATGAAGAGATTGCTTAGTCTGAGCTTTTGTTTCATCTGACTGTGAAATCCTGAGATAGATGCTTGCGTGGACACCACACCTAATAGGTGGTGAGGTAGTTACTAACAGTGGTTGGCCTAGACTTCTTTGAGTTACGTGATGCTGAAGGTTGACCTGGGGAAGAATGAAATACTCTACAAAGGGGAACCTCGGGGAGGGGCTTCTTGGGACTACCTCGATGGCTAGCTTTTTAAAATCTTTCCCGCAAATATCTTTCAAGCGATTTGAAATTAGCTCAGCTAGATATGTTCAGCAGAAGAAAGATGACGGGTTGTGGCTTCCACAGGGTCAGTTCTCTTCTACCTGTAGGGTGGTTATGAGTCCTAACTGCGCTGATGGCTGGGGGTTGGGTGGGGTTTTTTAAGTGTGTTCCAGGAAAGCACTAAGATTAATGTCCAAATGAGGTCTGCACTGGTTGGGAAATAGGGCAACCTCGTAATTTGCCAACCTCAAAAGTAAATTTACATGAAAATGAGTGTAGCATTTTATAGGTTAAGTACCATTTCCCCTGTTCTACTAAGTATATGATTTTAGTGGGACAGCAATGTTTCTCTTCGTGTGATCTCAAGGACCAGTGTCATCCATAGCTGCACTGTCCAGTTGGGCAGCCACTCATCACAAGTGGCCAAGGTACTTATTATCAGAGCTGTAACTCCTCAGCCATACTAGCAACATTGTCAGTGCCTCGCTAGCCACGTGTGGCCGTTGGACATGCAGATAAAGGACATTCCATCCCAGCTTGAAAGTTCGAATGATAGATGAGTAGGAGAAGCCAGGTGCAGTTGCAAACCTTTTTCCTTGTGTTGTACGTAAGATTACTTTCAGGGTAACTGGAGTGTTTTGCATACTTACTTTGAAGACTAGGATGGGAAGCATGTAAGTAAGTGAAGGTTCAGGTCTCCATTACCCCCCCTATTTCAGAGGCTTCCCTCAAATTTTCTGAAGCTGTTTAATAGCATGTGGTGGTCTAACAAACTCGTAGATGGAAAGCCAATCAGCCTTCTGGCCCAGGATGACAGCGCAATAACGGTTCCCCGTTTGTTTGCTTTGCCCTTTCCGGGCGAGTGAAGAGGGCTGTGTTCCCCAAAGCATCCTGCCTTACAGTGCAGATCAGAACATAATGCCCCGGCTTTTTTGTGTCCTTAAAACAGGTGTGAATTTGCTAGTGGGTACAGAGAGCGGCCTCATGCTGCTGGACAGAAGTGGCCAAGGGAAAGTTTATCCTCTTATCAACCGCAGACGATTCCAACAAATGGACGTACTCGAAGGCTTGAACGTCTTGGTGACGATATCTGGTAAGGTGTTTTCTTTGTGCGTGTTCAATAAGGCGAACTATGTAAGCATCTATACAGATGTACTAAGAGAAATAGAAGTGCTTTTAAAGAGCTGAACTTTATTTAGCTCATTCCCAGACGTCATGATTACGTGATACACAAGTCTAGTGTGGTTTTATAGTACAGTGATAGGAAGATGTAGTCTAACACCCAGGTGCGTACTCGTACTCTGGCTCTTGTAGAGAGCCAGCTTGAGCACAATGCGAAATTGACATCTCCCACGGCCAGGCCAGGTGTGTGGGGATAGCAGCATACTGCCTCCATTGCTTGCTAGGTTTAATTGGGCTCTAGTGTCTTAACTTCTTGCCCGGAACTGTTAAAGGCAGTAGGAATTATTCTTTGCCAGGATTGTACAAGCATTGTTTCTTGTTGCTGCTGTTGTTTTCCCCTGAAAACAATTAGTACTAGGTACAAGTTTATCCTTTTAATAACCACATTTTTCCTAAGTGTTTGTATCAATTATTTCAGGGGAAACGGAATGAAAAGATAATAGAACCTTCTGAAACCCTCTCATGTTTATAGTAATAAATGAGAAACTAGTGCAGAAACGCAGTTAGGGAAAATAGTGTCCAGTCTCTTTGAAGGCGCACACCACACCTTAGTCTACACCCGGAGGGGGTGGGGGTGGGGGTGGGGTGGCATGGCCAGTAGCCTGCAGTAAATGATGGCTGGGCAATATTTCAAGCAAAGAGATGGATATGATGCTTTCAGTCAGTGCCCTGACCCCATCCATCTGTCTGTGGTTACCATCCAAAAGTTGGGGCGTGTCCTATCCATGCATTGAAACGTAGCCTGCATTTTTCTTGTCTTTAAGTATTCCTCCGTGTTAACCACTTCACATGGCTACAGGCTATTTTCTAAAACAGATCTCAAAGTTATCCTCTCATCTGTTACTAGTTTCACGTTTAGCGTGCACCCCCTCCCCCCTTTCATTTTCCCCCTCCTGTAAACGTTTTGAACAAATATCCTTGAAGCTTAGTCAACTCTTGGGCATATCCATGCTGGATAGATCTCAATACTACTATTGCTGGGTCAAAGGGAATGGCAAAATTACAAATTTTTAAATAAGCTACAATTTTTATTTAATTATCAGCTATCAACTTTGTGTTTATATAAGATTTTCGTGCCTTTTTTCCCCAGTTTTCAAATACGTAATAAACTTATTGAAATGCAAAATTTCCCCCAACTATATCATACTTAGATGTGAAAATAGCCATTTGAAACTTGAGTATTGCTGTGGTAGGTTTTAGTACTGGAGGAAACGTAACATCTGCAGGTAAAAGCAGCTCCAACTTTATGTTGTGATATGGGGAAGCCAGACAGTTGATGAGAAGCAAGGGCCAGCTGTAGTGGGGCTAACCTGTTCATCTCCTCCTCGGCACGCTTTCTCTCTTTAATCACTGCCGCTGCCCTTCCTGTCTGCTGAAGAACTGCATACTGATCGGGATGTCACGACGAGGGGGGAAATAATCGAGAAATAAAACATTTTTGCCCTCTCTCAGTCACATTTTAGTATATTTTCTAAATCACACAGTATCAGAATAAAACATTATACAGAAAATTA